ACACAGCACTATCCATCCGTCCAATATACCCATACATCAAAAAAATGTACAAACAAACTGTTTTTACGATTTGGGCCTCCCGGGGGCGTCCTCGCAAGGCTCCGGGGGGGCACAAGAGGGATATCATGCTGGAGGTCTCTGGGAACCGAAAAGGTCACCCAACAGGCCCCCTCAGGAGCCACCGAACGCCTGGGGAACAAGTGGGCCAGCCCGTATTGCATGAATGCGCGATAAGGATGCAAGGGCCTTTCGAAGCTTCCCCCCCGGATCATGTTGGAGGTCTCTGGGAGCAGAAAAGGTCCCCCAAAGGCCCCACAAGAGCCCCCGAACGCCTGGGGAACGAGTGGGTTGCAGTCGGCCCGCATCACAAGGAGGCGCGATGAGGATGCAAGGGCCTTAGGCGCCCATGTCGAAACTTCTCGAGCAGAGCGCGGCCAACGAAAGCGGCCAAGGATGGACCGAGAAGGCAAGGATGCAAGGGTACCCTGGGGAAGGCTGCCCATCCTTATTATGCGGGTTGACTGTGCTGGAAGTCTCTTGGAAACCACAAAAGTCCCCAAAGGCTCCAGAAGAGCCCCCGAACGCGGGGGGAACAAGTACGTGGGCTACTGGGGGGGGGGGGGGGGGCGAGGGGGGGGGGGGGGGGGGCGGAGTTTTGGAAAAGTGAGCCGCCCTCTGGGCCCAGGGACCCGGCCGAAGAGAACGCTCTTACAGGCCCGCCTCCGATCCCTCGGCAGGTCCGGGGATCGCTCCCCGAGGGGGAGCCGAGCTTCTCAAGGGTCGGGGACCCAGGCTCGAGGGCCCAGGCCTGAGACTGGCCCCAGATATCCGGCCCGCCCTGGCCCCACTGCCCCCCCCCCAAAAAAAATGATCCTCGGGGGGGGGGGGGAAATTATATATATATATATATATATAATATATATATATATATATATATATATATATATAAAAAAACAAACAAACAAACAAACAAACAAACAAACAAACAAACAAACAAAAAAAACAAAAAAAACTAGGAGATCGGGGGCGAGGGCCCGCCTCCGAGGAAAAGAGGGGGCGGGGTCGGGCCTCCCCCCCCTTGTCGAGGTGCCCCTCCGCGCAGCCGGCCCCGCCACGGCGCGGCGGGGGGCACCTCGCGGAAGAGCTGCGCCGTCCACTTGCCCCGCCAGCCGCCGGCGAGCACCGAGGGCCGCACGCGCGCGCCGCCGTGGAAGGACAGCGGGTCCACGGCGCCGCCGCAGCCCCGGGAGAAGAAGACGACGCGATCGGACGGCGGCCGGCCGAGAGGCAGCGGCAGCCCTCGGCTGGGCTCGGGTCGGTCGTGGCCTCCCGCGGGCGGATTCTCTGTGGGCGACGGAGAGAGGGCAGTCAGGAAATACTCACCGAGGGTCGAACAGAGTCGAAGAACCGTCCCCATAACCTCCTGTTCTTGGACTACTTTGTTGAACACTCCTCCTGAAGGGGGACAGGCCCAAGTTGAGGCTGGGCGGGGCTGTAGGCATCAGGATCCGCACCGGACGCTGCCCTCCCGCCCGCTAGGGGCGGTCGCCCCTGTCCCCTCCCTGCGGCTTGCCCGTTTCCCCCCGGGTAACGGCATCGGAACAACGGCAGGGTAAATGCTCCCTGCGATTCGCTGCTGCCAGGGAGGGCATGACGACCAAAAAGTCGCCGATGGATGCGGTCCTCAGGATGTGACTGGCGGCGCGCACAAGGGGGTCAGTAGGGCGGGGGTGAAGCTTCTTAGAAGCAGGGGTGCTCCCAATTCAGAGGCCGCCCCCCCTCCACAATTACTCAATATGAATACTACTCTCCCTCTTCCCCTGATGACGTCTTTTGCGTATTCGACCCCCCCGCGAACTGTTTTTTACACACACGATTCCCCTGAGTTGGGTTTTCGCCTGCGTTTTTTGTTCAAAATGCTGCTTTCGCTGAGGCGCCGGCCTCATTTCTGCTCCCGAATCGTTCCGAATCGTGCTCCCGCTGCAGCGTGGGCCTCATTTTCAAATCGGTGTTTTGCCTCCGTCGTTCAGGATGGCGTTCTCGCCCCAGCGCGGGCCTCTTTCTCGCGCGCCCATCCGCCCGCCACCACCGCGCCGCACCACGCCCCGCCCCGCCGCACGCACACCCACCGCCACTTCCACCCACCAACGCACGCACGCACGCACGCGCACCACCACCGCGCACCGCCACCACCACCGCACTACCCCACCCACCACCACCACGCTACACCGCGTCACACCACATCACACGCGCGCACACACAGACACACACGCACGCACACACACGCGCGCACGCACGCACGCACGCACGCACGCACGCACGCACGCACGCACGCACGCACACACACACACACACACACACACACACACACACACACACACACACACACACACACACACACACACACGCACACACACGCACACGCACACACACGCACACGCACACGCACACGCACACGCACACGCACACGCACACGCACACGCACACGCACACGCACACGCACACGCACACGCACACGCACACGCACACGCACACGCACACGCACACGCACACGCACACGCACACGCACACACACACATACACACACCACACACCACACACACACACCACCGCCACCACCACCACCGCCATCACGCATGTACGCACCTGGCCCACCACCAAACCACCAAGACGCCACACCACGTCACACCACAGCACACGCGCACACACGCACACACACATACACACCACCACCACAACAACCACAACCACGCACACACGCACGCACGCACGCGCACCACCACCCACTACGCACACGCGCGCGGAGCCACAGGTCCGCTACGACACGCGTCCGCGGATAGAGAAAATCAGCGCCATGGTAAGGGATGGGAGGGAGGGATAGGATGTCAGATGTTGACGCGAGCGCACCTAACTTGCCCCTACCCCCTCTGCGCGTGGCCGATGTTAACTATAGGGGAGGGGGGCCTGCCAGGAGTCCTCCCTGGCGCTTGCCATCCTCTCTGGGCCGCTTTGCGGCCTCTCGGCGCCGCGGCTGCGTGCGCCTCGAAGGAAATGGCCAGGATGGCGCCCTGGAGGAGCCCGTGGGCCGGTGTTGAGCAGGCTTGGGCCCAGCGGAAGAGCCGCCGCTGCCTCAAGTGGCCCCCTTCCGAGACGAGCTTCCCCGCTTCCGGTTCCACGCTCACCGGCCGCACGCAGGAGCGACCCCAGGCAAGAGTGACCTCCGGCGCGCGGGCGGCTTCAGTGAAGGGCGCGGGGGGCATCGCGCTCAGCGACCCCAGGACGCCAGCGGGCCCGCACCCGAGGGCACTCCGTCGGAGCAGGGCGGGCTGAGAGAACGGCAACTCAGAGTCGGTTCCCATGCCACTCCCAGGGTCCAGCCACGCGCCAGGTTTCCTAGCTGCCTCCAGCTGCAGCGACCGGGGGGGACCCCGAAGGCCAACCACCGCTGTCTCAGCTTGCCCCCCTTTCTGCCCAGACCCCTGACGTCATGACCCCCCGAGGTCTCGAACTATTCCCTGGGACCGGTTTTTCACCCCGAGTCGTTTTTTGACGGTCCCGAGGCCCGGTAAGGGCCCCCAGAGGCAAAAAATGCCGAAAACCTCCTGTCATGATTTCCTAACAGCGAAGACTGATAGGTTTCCAGTGGGGTCAAAAGGGAACATCATGACTCCTCAGGGGGGTCGGGGCGGGACCCGGAGCGGGACCCGGCGCGGCTGCCGTCGAAGCCCAAATCGCCTAGGACATCCTCGCAAAATCGCTCTCGGCGTTGCTAGAACTCCATTTCCGGCGTACATTTTGTATGCCCGGAGCCAACTGTAAGCCACTTCGTGCTCTTCGACTTCCCAGAACTCCATTCCCGGCGTACATTTTGGGTGCACGGAGCCAACTGTAGGCCACTTCGTGGTCTTCGAGTTTCCAGAACTCCATTCCCGGGCCACATTTTGGGCGCCCGGAGCCAACTGTAGGCCACTTCGTGGTCTTCGAGTTCTCAGAACTCCACTCCCGGGCCACATTTTGGATGTCCGGAGCCAACTGTAGGCCACTTCGTCTTCTTCGAGCTCCCAGAACTTCATTCCTGGGCATGATTTTGAATGCCCGGAGCCAACTGTAGGCCACTTCGTGTTCTTCGAGTTCCCAGAACTCCATTCCCGGACCACATTTTCGATGCTGAGGCAGGCTGATGCTGAGGCTGAGGCAGGCTGAGGATGAGGCAGGCCGAGGCCGAGGCTGAAGGCAGACTGAGGCTGAGGCTGAAGCAGGCTGAGGCTGAGGCTGAGGCAGGCTGAGGCTGAGGCTGAGGCAGGCTGATGCTGAGGCAGGCTGAGGCTGAGGCTGAGGCTGATGCAGGCTGAGGCTGAGGCAGGCTGAGGCTGAGGCCGAGGCTGAAGGCAGACTGAGGCTGAGGCTGAAGCAGGCTGAGGCTGAGGCTGAGGCAGGCTGAGGCTGAGGCAGGCTGAGGCTGAGGCTGAGGCAGGCTGAGGCTGAGGCTGTGACTGCGACTGCCGTTGCCACTGCGACTGTCATCGCGAATGCGACTACGACTGCGAGAACAGCAGAATTCTACAACTGGATTCTCATCTGAATCGTAAGGGGAATGCTTCCAGATATGCTCCTACACATCGCTGTTAGGTTGCTTTGCCGGGATAATTTGTTCCTTACTCGAGGGGGTCTGGGAGGTGCGCGACGGGCACTCCCAGGGTCAAAGCGCGCCAGGTTTCCAAGCTGCGTCCAGCCGTGGCGCCGGGAGGGGCCCCCGAGGCACAAAACTGCCGTCGCCTCGGCTCGCCCTCCGTGGGCCCGCGGAAAGGAAGGGCTCCTCGTCGCCCGGCGTGTCGGGTCATACCGTCGGCCCGTGTCACAAGGAGGCGCGATGAGGATGCAGGGGCCTTGGGCGCCCATGCCGAAGCTTGTCGAGCAGAGCGCGGCCAACGAAAGCGGCCAAGGATGGACCGAGGAGGCAAGGATGCAAGGGTACCCTGGCGAAGGCTGCCCATCCTTATCACGCGGGCTGACCGTAACTCGGGCCTCCGGCGGCCGTCTGGGGCCATTCCGGCACCCCCCGGAACGCTGCCGGCGAGGCGCAGCCGCCGGAGAGCACCCCGGGGCTGCACCACCGCCGCCGGCCGCAAAGTCGCCCTCCTCTGAGCCGGGGGGCCCCTCCTGCGCGCAGCCGAGCTCAGGCCCCTGCGCCCCTCCGCGGCCGCGAGCAGCTCGGCGGCGGCCGCCGCCGAGGACCCCTCGCGCTGCAGGGCCGGCCCGGTGTGCTGGAAGGGCGGCCCCAGTGCGCCAGCGGCCCCGCCGCCACTGGCGCACGGGCCGCGCCACGGCCGCTGCGCGAGCGCGCGCGCGGCCCGCTCGCTGGCAGCGGCCGCGCCCGCGCCCGCGCCACCGGAGGCCGGGCTCCCGCAGGGCCCGCAGGGCTCCGCGCAGGGGAAGACCGTGGCCCCGTCCCCCGACGGGGCCAGCGTGGTCAGGTACAGGATGCCCGTGGCGCACCTCCGAGGAGGGCGAGCCGAGGCGGCGGTGGTTGGCCTTCGGGGGGCGCCCCCGTCGCCACGGCAGGACGCAGCTCGGAGAGCTGGTGCGCCCTTGGGACCTCGGGAGGGCTCCGGGGGCCGACTCTGAGCTGCCACTGTCTCGGCCCGCCCTGCTCCGAGCCCAGACCCCCGACGTCATGGTTTTTTCATGACGTCGACCCCCAGAGGTTTCGACCTATTCCCCGGGACCGGCTTTTCGATCTGAGCCGTGTTTTGACAGCCCTGAGGCCCTGCAAAGGGCCCCCAGAGGCCGAAAACTGTGAAACACCTCCCGGCTTGATTTCTTCACGAATCACTCGACGGGGTCTGGAAGCACCGCATGGGCCGGTGGTTGGTGTCCAGGTGCAGGCCGAGGCCCATGCGCCCGGGGGCGGCGGGCCCGCCCGGCGGGGTCGGCGTGAAGTGAGCCACGGGAGAGTCTGCCTCGGCCTGGTGGGCCGGCAGTGCCAGCAGCTCCTCGAGGAAGCGGCACGCGCGCCCGAGCGCACGTCGGCCAAGATCCTCCGAGCCGATCGGCCCGCCCGGCCGCAGCGCCGCCCCCGCCTCGGCGGCCTGGCCGACCAGGGAAAAGACAGCCTTGCCCTGCTCCCCTGGATCGCCACGAAGCAAGCGGGCCCCGAGGGAACAAGCGGGCCCCTGGAGAGGCTTTCTTCCCCGCCGCCCAGGACCCTTCCAGGAGCCCCGTGGGCCGGCGAGCAACGACTCGGATCCTGGGGATAGCCCCCTGGGGTCCAGGACGCGCTCCCCTGCGGACCCGCTTGCCTCGTGGAGGAGAGGGAGGCGCGCCGCCGCGCGCCAGCGCGCGCAGGGCCGCGCACTCGGGCGCGCTAAGCAGCCCGCGCGCCTCCAGGACCAGCGGCCTCGCACACAGGAGCCGCACGGGCGGGCCCCAGGCGCAGTCCGCGCCGGCGCCGCCGTCCCCTGGCAGCGGCGCCGGCGCCGACGCAGCCCTGGCCCGCTGGCGCATCCTCGAGCGGGCGCGGGCCAGCGCAGGATGCCCTGGCCTGGGGCGGACTGAACCGGTGGTCCTACTGATTCCGCACCTCCTCCTCCTTCCCCATCCTCCTCCTGCAAACGCAGTTGGAAGTGGAGCGCCGCCTCATGTCCCAGCTTGCGAGAGCGCGTGCGAACACCGTCAGCAGCAGCCGCATCACCACAATAGTCATTATCATCCCAATCACCATTAAGATGACCGATCAGCACCAATCATCACCATCCTCACCGTCGTCGTCACCACCGCCAATGTTCACCACAACCATCACCACCACCACCACCACCATCACCATCAACATAACCGTCACCATCGCCAGTCGTCATCAGCATCAAAAATCGTCAATCATCCCCACCACCACCACCACCACCACCACCATCACTATCCTCATCATCACCACAAAAACTCCCCTCCTGATCCGCCTCCTCCTCCTCCTCCTAATCCTCCTCCTCCTCCTCCTCCTCATCTCGCACATCTTCCTCCTCCTCATCCTCATCAACCTCCCTTCTTCTCCGTCTTCTTCTTCTTCTTCTTCATCATCATCATCATCATCATCATCAGCATCAGCATCAGCATCATCATCATCATCATCATCATCATCATCATCATCATCATCATCATCATCATCATCATAATCATCATCATCATCATCAGCAGCATCATCATTATCATCATCCTCATCATCATCAGCATCATCAGCATCAGCAGCAGCATCATAATCATCATCATCATCATCATCATCATCATCATCATCAGCATCATCAGCATCATCATGAGAATCATCATCATCATCATCATCATCATCATCATCATCATCATCATCATCAGTATCATCATCATTATCATCATCATCAGCATCATCAGCAGTAGCATCATCAGCAGCACCATCATCAGCATCAGCATCAGCATCAGCATCAGCATCATCATCATCAGCAGCATCATAATCATCATCATCAGAATCATCATCATCATCATCATCAGCATCATCACCATCCTCATCATCAGAAGCGTCATCATCAGCAGCAGCGGCATCAGCATCATCATCATCGTCATCAGAAGCATCATCACCACCATCATCAGCATCATCATCAGCAGCATCATCGTCATCATAATCATCAGCAGCATCATCATGATCATCCTCATCATCACCACCACCACCATTATAATCATCATCATCATCAGCAGCATCATCATAATCATAATCAGCAGCAGCAGCAGCATTAGCATCAGCATCATCATCATCAGCAGCAGCATCATCGTCATCATCAGCATCATCAGCATCATCGTCATCAGCAGCATCATCAACATCATCATCCTCATCCTCATCCTCATCCTCATCCTCGTCCTCGTCCTCGTCTCGTTCTCATCCTCTCCCTCCTCCTCCTCCTCCTCCTCCTCCTCCTCCTCCTCCTCCTCCTCCCCCTTCTCCTTTGGCTCCCCCTCCTCCTACTCCTCAAACTCCTCCTCCTCCTCCTCATCCTCCTCCTCCTCATCATCCTCCTTCTCCTCCTCGTCCTCGTCTCGTCCTCCTCCTCCCCCTCCTCCTCCCTCCTCCTCCTCCTCCTCCTCCTCCTCCTCCTCTCCTCCTCCTCCTCCCCCTCCTCCTGTTGCTCCTCCTCCTCCTCCTCCTGCTGCTCCTCCTCTTCCTCCTCCTACTCCTCCTCCTGCTCCTCCACGCTGTCGCAGAGCCCGCTCATGCCCGCCCCAGCGCCAAGCAGGCCTCCAGGTCCGCGAGAGCGTGCCGGGGTGGGTCGCTCCACCTGCTCGGGCGCGAGGCCCGCGAGCAGGAAGGGGCCCCCCACCACCCCGGCTACACCTCGACGAGGAGGAGGGGGGAAGGGAATGGAAGGAGGGGGGGAGGGAGGAGGAGGAGGAAGGGGGAGGAGGAGGAAGGAGGAGGAGGAAGGACGAGGGGAAGGGGAAAGGAGAGGAAGGAGATGGGGGGGGAGAGAGGAGTTCTCCTAGTCCTGCTCCTCCTCCGCCTCCTCCTCCGCCTCCTCCTCCTCCGTCTCCTTTTCTTTCTCCTTCTCCTCCTCCTCCTCCCCTCCTCCTCCTCCTCCTCCTCCTCCTCCTCCTCCTCCTCCTCCTCCTCCTCCTCCTCCTACTCCTCCTTTCCCTCCTCCCTTCCTCCGTTTCTCCCTCCCTCCCTCCATCCCTCCCTGCCTCCCCCTCCTTTCCCACATGCCCTTCCGCATTTCATCTTTCCTGAGCCTAAGACACGCAGTGTCGGTCGACTACACCTGACATGCCCTTCCGCATTTCATCTTTCCTGAGCCTAAGACACGCAGTGTCGGTCGACTACACCTGAAACAGTTGGAATGGCGGACATTCGATCAACGGAGCCTGCCTCAGTGGAGACTTGAATTACACTCTTCGCAGCGAACGAAGAAGAAGCGTGCTTATCATTTCTCCTCCCGCTTTCCTCATCCCTCCCTCCCTCTCTTTCTCACTCACTCCCTCCCTTCGCTGCTGCGCACATGGCCTAGCACCGCAGCACCGCTCTCCGCCGCAGCCAGCATCCAAGCTCCTCTCTTTTCCCCGCCGCAGCCGCCGCAGCCAGCTCCGCCCCTCCTCCCCAGCAGCCAGCCTTGCCTCTCCTCCATCACAGCCAGCCCCATCCCCCCCCCCATCAACTCCCCCTCCCTCCGCGAGGCCCCTACACAGGGCAAGATCAGTCAGCACCGAATCAGGACATCGGACCGAATCAGAACAGAACTTGCGCCAGATAGGGCTGCATCGGCACAGAGTCGAAACTGGACCACATCGGCTGGGCCAAGATGCACAACAATGCCGTGCAAACACTGGGCCGCATCGGACCGTCGAAATATAGGAATCGAATCGGACCGAGCCGCCCGAGAACGACATCGAGAATCGGATCGGTAGGATCGAAATGGACCCTGCTGGGAGTCAGACTCGTCGCCCCAAAGCTCTCCCTCACTCGACACTCACCGTCGTGAGCGAGCACGACGCCGCGAAACAGAGGCCCACGACCGGCACCATCGGCCAAATCTGCAACGCGGGGTGCCCCAAGCCAGACCGATCCGCGCAGGACCGCTGGGACCCAAATCGCGCGTCAGGCAGAGGCGCCAACCGTCTCCTTCTTGTGCTTGCTTGGCGACGCATGCATAGCAACTCGGGCGACGAGATCTACGCATACACACCGCCCCTGGCCAAGTCCATCTTGGACCCAGGATCGGTGTATACACCCTCCTGGCTTGGTTAGGGAGGAACATACACCGAGCCATAGGCGGTGTGTACAAATTACTCTTCCAATACGTTTGCACGCCGGGGGGGGCAGAAAAAAACCCTCCCCAAGAACAAAACCGGACTCCTCGGGATCTGGGGCTTTGGGGCCCCCTGGACGCCCTTTTCAGAGGTCCCCCAGCCCTGCTGCGCCTCCCAGGGCGCCTTGTCGGGCCTTACCCTGCAGACCCAAAGCGGTCAGAGAAGTAATCGAAGAGGCGCAGGAGAGACCCAAGTTAGCGCAAGACTGCCTCAGAACGGCCCAAGAGGCTCCCAAGACGGCCCAAGAGGCCCCCAAGACGCCTCAAGAGACCTTCAGGAGTGCCCCCAAGAGGCAAAAATCTTGTCATGCCCTTAGAGGACGTACAGTTTCAGTAGATTCGCTTTCTATGTCGTAGAAGCTTTCACGACGGCCAAAGAGGCCTCCGAGATCGCCGCAAGACGGCCCAAGAGGCCCCCTGAGAGGGCTCAAGGCAGCCCCGGAAGGCCCCAAGACTGCCCCAAGACTGCCCAAAAGAAACTCACCAGGCCCACCAAAGAGAGACTCCCAAGAGAGACCCACGAGGGCCATGGCACGTCCCCAGAAGGGCCCAACTCGACCCCAAGAAGGCACGTAGAGGGCCAAAATTCTCCAATAAAGGCCCCGAGACGGACCAAACGGGTTTCAAAAGGACCCCCAAGACGGCCCAGAGAGGCGCCCAGCAGGCTTCCAGAGGTCCAAAAAAAACTTGAGAAACATTCGTGAGGCCTGCAAGACGCAAAAAGTTCTCCAACGAGGAGCCTCCACAAAAGACGTGCCCGCCCATGCTGCATCGTGGGCGATCATGAGCCCCACGCCATATAGCTTACACTGGTCTTGTCTATTCGCAAAACTTCCACAACCCTCTTCCCAACAGATTGTTCATACAACCTGTCCTGCACCACATAGCTTTCATCATGTAGATACCACTACATCGCACGCATTACCTAGTCCACACAACTAATTACCACCATGTGGCTAATACCGAAAAATCACCGCATAGCTCACACCACACGGTTGCCACAATATCGCTCACATCACATACCTATCTTAAACCGCAAAGTTTTCACCGCCGGGGTTCAACGCCTCAATATTAGGGGTATACGATGGTTCATACACATATTGGTTTTAAGCCCTTGGGAGCCGCTGGAAGCCGCCAGGCTTCTTGTTATTGTAGCTTCTGCCAGATTCGGAAGTTCGGCTTCGACGTCGACCTCCAGAAGCCGCTGCAGCCCGGAGGACACGAAAAAAACAGATCTCGGAGTGAAGCAAACGACCCACAGCAGACAACTCGTCCTCCACAACGGTAGATCTACGTCGTGCCGACGCGGGGGCGACACCGGCGCGGACGTTCGGACTGAACAAGGCCAGCGGTCAGGCATCGGCCGCGGGTGGTCATCTGGCGTCGGTGCTGGGGCCGATGCTGGGATCCAGACCGGCGTCCGTGCGGACGACGATGCAGGCCCCCATGCTGGAGTCGATGCTGTCTTCGGCGCTGGTGTCGATGCTGGCCCAAGTAGTGGCTCTGGCAGGGCGGCGGGTGGATCGCGGGGTGGGGCGTCGGAGAGGGAGTCAGGGGGGGGGGCATCAGATATGGCGTCGGCGGGAGCGTCGGGCACGAAGTCGCACGGGTTTTCGGCGCCGTCGCGAGGGCTGTTTCGGGCGCCGGGGTCGGCGACGGTCGGCGCTGGCGTCAGCACTGCCGTCCCAAAGTGGCGTTGCTGGAGTCCGTCGCGATGTCCTCGATGCCTTTGGCCGAATCTATCGCGACAATCGCGGCGGCGCTGCTGAGCGCAAGGCGATACGCGGGGCACGGCGTCGGGCTGGGCATCGAACTGGACGTCGGGTTGGGGAGCGAGCTGGGCGTCGTACTTGTCGCCAGCCTCGGCATTGGCGATGCGGATCTGGTCGGCGGTTTGCTGCTCGATCCCACCGCCCGCGCTGGCGCCGATGCTAGAGCCGATGCTGGCGCTGGTGCGGGCGTCGATGCAAGCGGCAGCGCCGGGTTCAACACTGTCTTCACTGAAGACAGTGTTGAACCGTCGATGTACGCGTCGATGATGGCGTCAGTGCTGAGGTCAGCGCTGTAATCGATGCTGGCGCCGGTGCAGGCTTGGGCGATGACGTCGACGGTGCTGGCATCGAGGCTGGCGTCGATGCTAGCCTCGGTGCTGGGGTGGTTGGTGGGCCGTCGCGTTAGTCGCAACGGTGAGGCTGGCTGTCCGACCGCTGGTCAGAAAGGCGGCGATGGCCGCTGTCATACTCGCAAGGGTGGCACTCCTGGTTTCCGTCATGCTGGTGACTGACGGTGATGCCGATGTTTTCCGTTATGCTCGTCTCTATGGCGCTGCTGGTCGCCGTCGCGTACGTCGCTGTAGCGTTGCTGGTCGCGCGCGCTGCGGTGCTGGTCGCAGTCGCATTCGGTGGCGGGGGCGGCGGTGCTTTTGCTGACCGCGGGGCTGCTGGTTCCTGCTAGTTCCGCTGTCGTGGTCGCGGTGGGTCCGCTGGCCACGGCGGCCCCGCCGGGGCCGGCGCTGGAGCCGCCGGCTGTGGCGTTGGTCGTGGGAGGCAGTGGCCCTGACCCAGGGAGTTGCCCACGGGTGCGCCGCGAGTGCGGGAGTAATCGCAGGCCCTGCTGTCGGCCTCCTACGAAGCCGCAGTCGAGGAAGCGCTCGGACGGCCCAAAGGCGACACGGCAGGCCCTGATAGGGCCGAATAAGCTAAAGCTCGAGCGCAAGGCGCGGCTGTCGAAATGAAAACCCAGCCTGCACACTCGGATGGCACGCCGCTGAGCGCCAGGTTGGGCACCGAGGCCAGACTGGCCAGAGCTGGTCGGAAAGGTGCTTGGCGGCTCGGTTGCAGGCGTCAGCGTTGGTGTCAATGTCGCGGTGCGCGTCGGCATCGGTGCTGCAGGAGACGCAGGCGTTAGCGCTGCCACCGCTACGGGCGTCGATGCTGGCGTCGGTGCTCGTGGCTGCGCTGCGATCGGACTGGCGCCGGTGACGCTGACGTCGTTGCAGGCGTCGCGGTTGACGTCGGCGCTGGAGTCGAAGGCGGCGCCGACGATGACGTCGATGCCGGCGTCGGTGCTGGCGTTGGATTCGCTGCAGGAGGCAATGCTGGTGTCGGCGCTGACCTCGGCGCGGGCGTCGATGCTGGCGTCGAATCTGGCGCTGGCGCTGGGACCCTCGCCGTCGCCGCCGCCCCAGCCGCCGCAGCCGTCTCCGCCATCGACGACGCTGAGTTCAGCCCAGCAGCCCTCCCAGCCGCCGTCCGAGCCGCTGCCGACGCCGCCTGCCCCTGCGCCGCCGCCACCCGATCCTCCTCCGCCGCCATCGCCTCCAGGCTCTGCACGTCGATGGTGGATGCTGTGATTATTGATGCTAGCGCGGATACATGTTCTGGTGAGAGTCGATACTGTCCTCGACGCGCGAAACGATGCCAGGGTCGGTGCTGGCGTCGGCGCCGGCGTCAATGCTGGACTCGCTGCTGGCGTCAGTGCGGACGTCGAATCAGGTAGTGCCGGGATCGATGATGGCTGCAATACTGAGATCGGTGCCGGCGTCGACGCTGGCGACGCTGCTGGCTTCGATGCCGGGGTCAATGCTGACGTCGCTGACGTGCAGTCTGGCTCCAGTGATGTAGCAGATTTTAGCTTCGATGCTGTAGTCGGTGCCGACGCCAGCGCTGCATGCGATGCTCGGGAAAACATATCCTTCGACGCTGGCGTCGATGGTTGTGCGAGCATAGGCCTTGATAGACTGCGCTACACCCGGGCCAGGGGGGGGGGGGGGGGGCAAATCCTGCGACCCCCTCCACCACGGGCGTGATTGACGTCTGGAATGCTGGAGTCGGTTCTGACATAGATGCTACCGTCGATGTTGACGTTTCAACTGGCGTCGATGCTGGCGTCGATGCTGCTGTCGCGAATGCTTGTTTCGCTGCTGGTGTCGGCGGTGGCGTCGATTCAGGCGCGGGTGCGGGCTCAGGCGTTGGAGTCGCTACTGTCCTCGATGCGCGCTTCGATGCTGGCATCGATGCTGGCGTCGGTGCTGGTGTCGATACTGGGGTCTATTCTGGCGTCGCCGCGGACGTCGACGCAGGCTCCTGTGCTGGTGTCGATGCTGTCTTCGGTGCTGGCGTCGATGCTGAGGTTGATGTTGGCGTTAGTGTTGGCGTCGATGCTGGGGTGAGTCCTGGCGTCGGTGCTGATGTCGACGCTAGCTTTGCGGGTGGGCATGATATTTCCTTTGGTGATTGCGACGACGCGGGCGCCATTGCTGTTGTCGATCCTGGCGTCGGTGCTGACGTTGATGCTTGGGACAGTGCTCGCATCGGTGCTGGCGTCGATGCTGGCACTGATGTCGGCATCGATGCTGTCCTCGATGCTGGCGCGGGCGCTGGCGCCGATGCTGAGGCAAGCGCTGTAGTTGAAGCTGGCGTTGGTGTGGGTCTCGGCGTTGGCGTCAATGCCTGAGTCGGCGCCGACGCCCATGCTGTCATGAGGGCTGGTTTCGATACGGGATAGGATGCTGGCGGGCGAGGGTGCTGACGTCGATGCTGGAGTCGACGCTGGCGCCGGCGGTGACGTAGATGCTGGCTCTGGTGCTGGAGCCGATGGCGTCTTCGATGATGGCGCCGATGCTGGGGTTGACGCTTGCGTCGGCGCTGGCGTCGATGTTTGGCGCGGTGCCGACGCCGATCCGACCCCAGCCACCCCCCCAACCACCACTCAAATCGCCACCAACGCCGCCTGCCCAGCCGCCGCCGCCACCCAATCCTCCGCCGTCGCCGTCACCTCCAGGTCCTCGCCCTCGACTTCGACCTCCTGCGCCGTCTCCGTCACAGCTGCAAGTTCCTCCTCCACCGCCGGGTCCACGTCCATTCCCAAGTCCTTTGCCTCCTCCCTCCTCTGCTCCTCCTTGGCCCGGCACTCGCGGCGCACCGCGGCGACACGCACGGCCTCCTGGACAGCTTTCTCGATGGCGCGCGGCGGGGGCAGGCGACGCCGTGCTCGGCGTAGTCGGCGGCGCTGGTGTCGAGGACGTGGCGGCGCTGCTGGTCGTAGTCGTGCTGGTGCTGCTGGTACTGCTGTTCGTATTCGCGGTTAGTGTCCCATGCTGTCGGCACGACCTGGATGACACTGTACTTGTACTCGTGGAGTGGTTGTGAGTAGTTCGTTCATGAGCATCGTGGGCGTCATACTCATCGGTGTTGATGCTGGCATAGGTGCTGGTGGTGGGGGCGTTGGCGCACTGCTGGTGCCAGTCCTGATGCCAGTCCTGATGCCAGTCGTTCTGATGCTCGCTGGGTTCCTGAGCGTAGGCCTTCACAGCAGCGCCAGACGGGCCATAGCCAGGGCCGCTGGTCCAGCGCTGGCGCCGCGCGCCTGCGGCCTCGGCGGCGATGAGGCGTCGGTGCCGAGCGGCAAGGCGGGCCGCGGTGACCCCAAAGGTGGCAGCCTCCCAAGCCATCTGGGAAATACCAGGCCGCCCAAAAAGTGGGCCGCCCCCCGTCTTTAGCGCAGGCTCAGCGGCCGCCATCGCTGGGCCGGGCGCCCGAGAGGCAAGCCAGGACGGCTCGTCACTTGAGCCAAGATGGCTTGAGCCAAAATGGCTACGGACCTACTTATCCTCCTACTCCTCCCTCCTCCTCCTCCTCCTCCTCCTCCTCCTCCTCCTCCTCCTCCTCCTCCTCTCCGCCTCCTCCTCCTTCTCCTCCTCCTCCTCCTCCTCCTCCTCCTCATCCTCCTCCTCCTCCTCCTCCTCCTCTGCCGCATCCCCCCCCCCCTCCTTCCCCCTCCTCCCTCCCCCCCTCCTTGCCCCCCTCCCTCCTCCTCCCCCCCCTCCCGGCCGCCTCTCAGGGGACCTGTTCCCGGCTCGGAAATGGATCGCCAGGAGCCTTCGCCGCCCGTTCCTCGCCGGGCGGGGCGAGGGCCAGCCCGGGGGCAGGCCGCGTGCTGGGGGGGCGAGGGTCGCCTCTGCCGCCGCACCCTCCTGCAGGTGGGGAGGAGCAGGAGGGAGGAGGAGGAGGAGGAGGAGGAGGAGGAGGAGGAGGAGGAGGAAGAGGAGAAGGAGGAAGAGAAGGAGGAAGAGGGGGACGAGGAGGAGCCTAGATCTACTGAGTGTGTGCCTTCTGCTCAGCCCCCCCCCCCCTGGCGGGGAAAGATGAAACCCAGAACTCCGGGGTCTGTCGGGGGAGGATCCTAGAGCCCGAGGGCGTGGCCACCATCCCCTGGGGCCTGGGGCGACGAGCCTCAGACCAGTCGAATGCGATCCTGACCCCCCCCTGCCCTCCTCTGTCCAGCCAGGGAATGGACAGCCGAGGAGGAGCGGAAGGAGGGAGGAGGAGGAGGAGGAGGAGGCAGGAGACAGGAGGAAGAGGGAGAAGGAGGGAGGAGGAGGAGGAGGAGGAGGAGGAGGAGGAGGAGGAGGAGCAGGAGGGGGAGGAGGAGGAGGAAGAGGAGGGGGAGGAGGAGGAGGAGGCGAGGGAGAGAGGCGGGGCGGGGAGAGCGGAGGAGGGAGGGGGGCGAGGGATGAGGAGGAGGGAGGAATAGGAGGAGGAGGGAGGAATAGGAGGAGGAGGAGGAGGAGGAGGAGGAGGAGGAGAAGGAGGAGAAGGAGCAGGGGGAGGAGCGGAAGGACGGCGACGACAACGACGAACGCAACGACGAGATCGGCTGCACCTCAGCTGAAGCCGACAGTACCCGACAGACCGACCGAGGAGGAGGGAGGAGGGAGGAGGGAGAGGGGGTGGGCGCATCCCCATCGGCCTCGTGCCAGTTATCAGAATCCCCTTTCCCCCCACCCCATACACACAAACAAACAAACAAACAAACAAGCAAACACACACACACACACACACACACACACACATACACGCACACACACACACACACACACACACACACACACACACACACTCACCACACACACACACACTCACACGCACACACACACACACACACACACACACACACACACACACACACACACACACACACACACACCACACACACACATCACACGCACACCCACACACACACACACACACACACACACACACACACACACACACACACACACACACACACACACACGCGCGCGCACACGCACACACACACACACACACACACACACACAGACACACACACACACACGCACACGCACACGCACACGCACACGCACACGCGCAAACACACACACACACACACACACACACACACACAGACACACCACTGAGATCAAACGACGCGAAAAATGCAACATCGTGAAATACCACGACCTGAGCCGTGGACCCCACTTATCATCTGAATTTTTCTGGCGGGGTCGATATGCGAGGACCTTGCGGCCCGACAACGAGCGAAACGCAATTTGCGGAAAACATGCAGCGCCCAGACCTGAAGGATCAGCCTCCGTCTCCGTCTCTCATCCTCCCCTCCCTTCTCGAAAAGGCAAAACCCCGACGTCATGTTTTGCTCACAACGTCGACCCCCGCAACTCTCGTCATTCCCTGGGACCGGTTTTTCATTCCGAATCGTGTTTTGACGGTCCCGCGGCCCGATGAAGGCCCCAGAGGCCGGAAATTGTGTAAAACAAATCCTTCCGTCGTGATTTGTTCACGACCCGAGGGCTCTGGGTGCCCTAGATGGGGCCCGAATAGATGGGGTCGGAGGATCGCCACAAAGCGGGGATGCATCGGCGATGCAGCGGCGACGCAACGGCGACGTCGGCGACGCATCGGCGACGTCGGCGAAAAGATGAGATGGCTCCGCATCGAGCCGCATCGCCGATGCATCGGCGATGCGGCGCGATCATCGGACCCCATCTGGGAAGCCCCGCCTACCCCCCGCGCCCAGCCGCCACCGGCTCAAGCCACGAATCCCGAGCGGCTGCCCTGGAAGGAAGGGCAGCGGGGAACTGGCTGCACTCGGTGCTCACGGACAGCAGGTCGTAAAACTGCTCAGACATGAGCAGGTCGTAAAACTGTTTCGACCTGTAAAACTACGTCGGCCTAGACAGGTTGTAAAATTGCCCCCTTTTCGACCTGAGCATGTCGTAAAACTGCTCGCGTTGAGCACTGCCACCCATCAGTGGCCAGAGCGTGCAAACACCTTTCTGCGTCGGCGGCGAAACAAGGGTCGTCTGCGCTGGCGGAAAGGCCTCAGCGGGGGTGCCGTTAGAGCGAGCTGTGCCACCATGCGGGAAGAGGAAGAGGCGGAGGACACGGCCGAAAGAGGGGGCGGAGGGAGCGAGCGCGCAAACGCAAATGGCCGCACCTCCCCGCTCGTGGGGGCCGGTCGTAACGGCTGCGCTGCGGGCGGGAGGCGGCCCGTCTCCGGTCCCGCAGCCCCCTCCCGGGCGGCGGCGGCGGCCCCGGCGCAAGGGCGGCGGCGCTCCGCGCCGCGTCGGGCCGCGGCGCGCGGCCTCCGCCCGGCAGGGCTGGCGAGAGGCGGAGCGGCCCCGAGCCGCCGCCTCCAACGACGACGTGGTGCCGCCGGGCGGCGACGAAGGCCGCCACGACGTCGACGGCGGCGGCGGTGGCGACGACGGCGGGAGGGCGGGCGCCGAGTCTCGCGCGGCGGCAGCGTTGGCGGGCGGAGGCGGCGGCGACGACGGCGGCCGCGGCGGCGAGGGCCGCACCTCCCCCTGGGACTCCCAGAGCCGCCGCGGGTCCTCGCCGCGCTGCTCACCTCGGCGCGCGGCGCGCTCCTCCCCGCGCCTCCCCCCGTCCCGCCGCTCCTCGCCCCCGCCGGCGTTCATCCCCTCGCCGTCGGCCCCTGCTGGCATCGCCCTCGGCCGGCGGGCTGCGGCTTTTTGCTCGACGAGGGGCCTGGCGCGAGGCGTGCTCCGAGGCTTGCTCGATGGCCTCGGGAGGCTATGAGCGTTAGAAATGGTGCGTGGCCGGATGGGGGCGACCATGATGGCCCGTGGACAGGGGAGGATAGTGGGGAGGATCGCATTCGACTGCTCTGTGGCCCGTCGCCCCAGCCCCACGGGATGGTGGCCCCGCCCTCGGGCTCCAGGATACCCCTCGACAGACCCCGGAGTTCTGGGTTTCACTCTTCCCCGCTAGGGGGGGGGGACAGCAGAGCAGAAGGCCCACACTTCAGAGATCCAGGCCCGTCCTCGTCGTCCTCCTCCTCCTCCTCCTCCTCCTCCTCCTCCTCCTCCTCCTCCTCCTCCTCACTCCTCCTCCTCCTCATCCTCCTCCTCCTCCTCCTCCTCCTCTCCTCCTCCTCCTCCTCCTCCTCCACTCCTCCTCCCTCCTCCTCCCTCCTCCGCCTCCTCCCTCCTCCCTCCTCCTCCTCCTCCTCTCCTCCTCCTCCTCCTCCTCCTCCTCCTCTCCTCCTCCCTCCTCCTCCTCCTCTCCTCCTCCTTCCTCCTCCTCCTCCTCCTCCTCTCACTCCTCCTCCTACTCCCTCCTCCTCCTCCTCCTCCTCCTCCTCCTCCTCTGGGGCGCGAGCGCACCTGGCCTGCCCCTCCCCGCGCCCCCTCTCCCCCAGACGAGCGATCCCCCTTACGAGAACGGCGCCCATGCACCGCGCCATGTTTGGACGTCCCGTAAGGCCCCGCTCCAACGCGGCACACGGTCCGTAGTTTTTGCGGCTCTGAGGGCCAGGAATCCATGTTGTGTACTTACCGCTTCTGGACCGAAGCTCGGCGACGACTCGAGGGACGCCAACGCTGCTCGGTGCACTCTTTTCAAATCAGAAGCTGGGCAGAAACGGCGGGCCGCGCTGGGCACGGGGCTCACTACAACGCCGCGGCAGAAGTATTGTGGTCTGCGTGCAAGATGACTGACGACTGGCAGAATAGGCGGAATGGACGGAGTAGAAATTAATCCGAGCAGACATTCATCCCACCCCATTATCATGATAGATTGGGCGGGGTAATTTCCGAACCTGTTTTTGAGATTACCAGACGGATCGGAGATTTCAACATCACGGCAGGGTACTTCGGGTGGGAAAGCAGAAGTCGGCCGCGGAGGCGGAGGGGGGAAGGAGGCCCTGGGAGAGCTCCAAAGAATACACCACCACCAGCCCTGGCCAGACCCATCCTGGGCCCTGGACTGGTGTACAGGCACTCCTGGCCTGGACCTGGAGGTCCTTGCACCGGTCCATTGCCCAGGATGGGCCTGGCCAGGGCTGGTGGTGGCGTACCGTTGGCGTCCATCCGAGGCCTGGCCGTATACGGTGCACACAAATCATCCGCAAGCCCCTGCTCCCGCCCGCCTTCGCGTACCGGGCCGCCAGCAGCGGCGAGGGCTCGAAGAGCACCTCTCGCGGGCCCAGGGGGGTGAGAGAGGAGCGCCAAGCCGCCCTCGGCCTGTAGGATGAAGGGAGGAGAAGGAAGGAAGGAAGGAAGGAAGGAAGGAAGGAAGGAAGGAAGGAAGGAAGGAAGGAAGGAAGGAAAGAAGGAAGGAAGGAAGGAAGGAAGGAAGGAGGGAGGGAGGGAGGGAGGGAGGGAGGAAGGGAGGGAGGAGGAGGCGCGGAAGACCTTCCCTCCTCCCTCCCTCCTCCCTCCTCGCCTCCTCCCTCTCTCTCCTCCTCCTCCTCCCTCTCCTCCTCCTCCTCCACTCCCCTCTCCTCCCTCCTCCTCCTCCTCCTCCTCCTCCTCCTCCTCCTCCTCCTCCTCCTCCTCCTCCTCCTCCTCCTCCTCCTTCTCCTCCTCCTCCTCCATTCCTTCTCCTTATAAATACCTCCTCCCTGTCGCACCCCGAGGCCTTTTTTTTACGGCGGGCCGGGCGTTTCGCCTGACATTTCCCCACCATTTATGACTGTGAAGCTTAAAAATGACCACAGTTTCACAGATGGAGGGCGGGTCGTTTTCAAAATGTGGCTCTCGCCTTAGCCCCGCGTACATTCGTTGTAAAGATTTGCAAGAGCTTCACGGATTGAGGGCGGGTGGTTTTCAAAATGTGGCTCTCGTCTTAGCGCCGCGCACATTCGTTTTAACAATTTGCAAGAGTTACATGGATTGAGGGCGGGTCGTTTTCAAAATGTAGCTCTCTCCTTAGCGCCGCGCATATGATTTTTACAAAATTGCAAGAGCTTCACAGATTGAGGGCGGTTCTTTTTTCAAAATTGGCTAGGGTTTCACGGACTACAATGATCAACGTACCAAAACTGATGTGTTGGAAGGATTCAGGATTGTGCGGCCGCAATAGTTATGTTGATTCGCTGCGTTGAAGTCCCGAAACTGGCGTTCTGGTACGATTCTGGATCGTCAAGACGCAGCAGTCAGGTTGATACGCGGCGTTGAAATCCCGAGAACTATGTTTTGGCACGCTTCAGGATCTTCAAACTGTTGTCTTCCAACGAGGCAGTTCCCTCAATGGAAATGAGCCGTTGTAGGGGCCTATAGAGAGGGAGCTTTCCACTGGTCCCCCTCCTCCTCCTCCTCTTCCTCCTCCTCCTCCTCCTCCTCCTCCTCCGCGTCATCGTTCTCCTCCTCCTCCTCCTCCTCCTCCTCCTCCTCATCCGAGGAGAAGGAGGAGAGGAGGAGCAGCAGGGGGCGGGGAGGAGAGGTAAAGGGAAGGAAGAGCCTGATGCTGCCGATGATGACCCTCCTCCTCTCCTCGCCTACTCGCTCGCTCGCTCGCTCGCAGTTGAACGATACATGCGACGCTGTACTCGGTGGGGGGACGCATGCGGGCGGTCGCACTGGGACCTTCGGTGAAGCTCCCTATGCGGCCACGAAACGTGTGAGGGGGGTGCCGAAATGGTAGACTGATGCGGAGAGCAGAGGCTGGGATGGGAGGAGGGAGGGGGAGGAGGAGGAGGAGGAGGAGGAGGAGGAGGAGGAGGAGGAGGAGGGAGATGCGGGGCGCCGTCTCTTCAAACGAGGACCCAACACGCCAGGATGGCTGGGGAAGAGAAACAAGCAAAACATAACAAAAGCACCTCGGTCCTCGATCCCCCTCGATCTTCGATCCTCCTCACTCGAACCTCGACCAGGGCCCCGCGAACCCCAGACCCCCGTCCCGCTGTCCCTCGCCTCGCGCTGGACCTTCCAGGATTTGTCTCCAAACTTGTGCCGGCACCTCTGGATGTACATCGATCTCTTCGGAGCTGCATGGACCTACGCTCAGCGTATTAATTGGAGGGCAGAGAATCCACCCTCATAATGAGAACCCCGACACGCGAAACCGCTTAGCAAACGCACCCACAGAAGGAATCGAACAGGGCAGGGCTGCTCAGTAAACGCCCAGGGCCGTTGAGTAAGTCCGGGTAGTTTTTCCTCCCTTGATTAGTAGTGTACCTCGATACACCGGGCCTGATCCCCACAAGACGCTTCGAGAAGGGCTGCCAGCCCCGAGATCCGACGTCGCGACGCGACGCGACAAAAGAAATCACCGCTGGAGCCCTGGTCGAGCCGCTCCGCTCCGCGAGGGCCCCCCTCTCGACCCGAATCCGAGCGAGAAGGCCCGGTGTGAAAAAATGCTACGCCGGGATCCCAGGGCTCTCCCTGGGGACTCCCCCTCGGGAACGAGGCCCTGGCCTGTCCTGGGGCGCGCGTCGGCCAGGGTGGAAGGGTGGATCCAGCCGCGGCGACGAGGGCCCTCCCGGAAGCCCAGGGCCTCGGACCCACCCGGTACTCGATGCTCCCCGCTTGACCCTCGACCCCAGGCCCCCCGACGACGCGATTTTGTCGGCGTGAACCCCTCCTCTGCCCCGACGTTGCAATTCTTCCGCGGCCTGGGCCCCACGGGATCTCGACCACTTCCCCGGGCGGGCTTTGCACCCCGAGTCGCTTCCGGACGGTCCCGGCGGGAAACGGCCCCCAGAGGCCGACAGTGTGCAAAGCCCTGCCTTCTGGAGTCGCCCCTGTCTCAAGGGGGGCGTCGCGATCTTGGCTACCCCGATACGCAACACGCAGCCTGTTGCGTGTTGGCACGGAGCTCAGCACGTAGATTGAGAACGCGAGCCTGGAGCAATACGTTTGGCACAGCGTCGGCCAGCACGCGCAGGAATCAGCAGGCGGGGTGCTCAACCTGGACGCTCTTGACAAGGCACGGGCAGCGCTTCAGCACAGACGTATCAGGGCAGCCAAGATCGCGACTTTTTCCTGAGCTCCGGCGGATCCCAGGGTTCACGGCGTGAACCTCAACAGATCGGGTCCCCCCCCTCTGGTTGCGTGGTAACCCTAACAAAATTAGCCTGGCGAAAGACCCTACCAGATGCAATTGTGAGTACAGCAGTTGTGGGTATCGTCTTCAGTGGAGCTCCCTATGGGCAACGAAACGCTGTACTGGGTGGGGGGGGGAGTATGCGGACGGTGGCACTGGGGCCGTCGGTGGAGCTCCCTACGGGCCACGAAACGCTGCACTGGGTAGCGAAGACGCATGCGAACTGTGCCATTGGGGCCTTCGGTGGAGCTCCCTATGGGGCCACGAAACGCGGTACTGGGTGGGGGACACGCATGCGAATTTTACCACTGGGGCCTCCGGTGGAGCTCCAAATGGGGCCACGAAACGCTGTACTGGGTGGGGGAGACGCATGCGGGCGGTACCACTGAGACCTTCGGTGGAACTCCCTATGGGGCAGCGAAACGCTGTACTGGTGAATAAAACGCATGCGGACGGTGCCACTGGCACCGTCGGTGGAGCTCCCTATGGGGCCACGGAAACGCTGTACTGGGTGGGGGGACGCATGCGGGCGGTAGCGCTGTGCTGGGTGGGGGGGACGCATGTGGGCGGTAGCACTAGGGCCGTCGGTGGAGCTCCCTATGGGGCCACGAGACGCTGTACTGGGTGGGGGGGACGCATGCGGGCGGCAGCGCTGGGGCCGTCGGTGGAGCTCCCTATGGGGCCACGGGACGCTGTACTGGATGGGGGGACGCATGCGGGCGGTACCACTAGGCCTGCGGGTGGCGCTCCCTATGGGGCAACGAAACGCTGTACTGGGTGGAAGGACGCATGCGGACGGTAGCACTGGGACCTTCGGTGGAGCTACCCATGGGGCCACGAAACGTGCGAAGGGGGTGCCGAAATGGTTGACTGATGCGGAGAGCAGAGGCAGAGATGGGAAGTGGGAGGGGGGAGGAGGAGGAAGGAGACGCGGGGCGCTGTCTCTTCAAAACAAGGACCCAACACCACAGGATGGTTGGGGAAAAACATCTCTGCCCATGTTGGACATAAACTGACAACTGTGTGTCGCTAAATTGTCGACCATGAGACACGTGTAAATCGCAGAGCCGGGGGCGGCTGGAAGGAGCATGCCACTCCTTGACCAAAACATTGCCCCGATGTGTGGCCGCCGCAATCGCCGCGGCGACCTCCGAAACCGGCCCAAACCAAGCCTCCAAGTGGGTTTTGGAGGATCGGGGTCGTAGATCACGAAACAATGTTGGAAGCGGACGGGGGTCTGAACTGGGTGGGCCCCGAGAACATCGTCAAGAAGGGGTTGCAAATGCGTTCTAAATCGGTCCCCAGAGCCCTCCCAGGATCAATCTGATGCAGATGTTCACCCCGGATCCGTTTCTGACGGTCCCGAGGCCCGAAAGCGATCCCTGGGAGCAGGAAAAGGCAGACAATCCCCTCGAACCAAAAAACTCGAACCTCCAAAGCCGACCCAGAGGTTCGGTCTGGGGTCGGCCATCGCGCAGCGACCCTCCCCGCGGCGCGCGCGCCCAGGAGGGGGGGGGATGGGGAGGAGGGAGAGAGGAGGGTCTTGGACGAGGAGGGAGGGGAAAGAGAGGAGGGAGTCGGAATCGGAATCGAGCTCTGGGGGCACTGGGTCATCCTGGCCTGTGCGGCGCCCGAGCGTCGCCTGGCTGTTTCGCCAGTTTGTCACAGCTGGTCAGAGCTCCCTGTCTTTGCCCAGAGGACCTGTCGAGGTGCTCTGTCGGGGGGGAGAGGGAAGAGGGCCTCCATGAGGTCGGCGTGCAGCCAGGGCGTGGCCAGCAGCTCCGCGGCCGCCCCAGCGCCCAGCGCGGCGCGCGCTTCGGGGCTGCGGAGCAGCGGGGCGCTGATCCTCGGGCGGGGGAGGAGGGGGAGGAGGAGGAGGAGGAGGAGGAGGAGGAGGAGGAGGAGGAGGAGGAGGAGGAGGAGGAGGAAGTAAGGCAAGGGAGGGGGAGGAGGAAGAGAATGAGGAGGAGGAGGAGGAGGAGGAGGAGGAGGAGAAGGAGGAGGAGGAGAAAGTAGAGTCGTTATCCTCGCGCCCCCGCTCCCAAGGCCAGGTGTCGAGAACGATTGCCAGTGCAAGGTAGCCTGCTCCTCGTTCAAGCTGTGAAATCTCGCTCACGTGCGTCCACGCAAGGAGTTGGGATGAGACGAGGTACGGCTCATCTCTCCTCTGTCGTCGTCGTATACGGGTATGAACGGGAAATTAGATGGGTCGGGAGACAGTCACTGGAAAGCTCACTTCGCAGAGTTCCGCTCAAACCAGGTTTGAGCCAGAGTGAGCAGCAAATGCACGCGCGGGCACACGGACCTGCATCCTCTCTATGGCCACAACATCCATTGCCTTCTACCGCTAGCTTGGCCGAGGTGCTACACTTCAACTGGGGAGGAGGGTGGCTCGGCGTCTGTCTACAGCCGACCCAGCTCAACCTGAGGCCGAGCGTTTCAGCATTCACCCCGACCACTTACATGAAAAGCTCGCAGCATCGTCAGTCTTGCCGTGCACACAAGATTCAGCGACACGGACAGGCGCAGCACAGGCACATAATTGCAAAATACGCACACCGAGCATTATGAATTGCAACTGAAGGGCGAGCAGGCGTAGAATATTCAAGGACAGTACAAAGCACGAGGACAGAAAGCAACACGAACGCAACTCGCCTGGCGAAGGACCCAACCAGATGCAGCTTTGAATACCGCAGTTGTGTGTATCGTCTTCGGTGGAGCTCCCCATGGGCCACGAAACGTCGTACTTGGTGGGGGGGCCTTCGGAGGAATTCCCGATGGGCCACGAAGCACTACACTGGGTGGGGGAGACATATGCGAACTTCGCCACTGGGGTATTCGGTAGAACTCCTATGAGGCCACGAAACGCTGTACTGGTGGGGGACATGCATGCGAACGTTGCGAGCTCTCTATGGGGCCACAAAACGCTGCACTGGGTGGGGGAAATGTACGTGGACGTTGCCACTAAGGCCTTCGCTGGAGCCACGAAACGGGGGCTTCGGTAGAGCTCCCTATGAGCCACGAAACGCTGTACTGGGTAGGGGGAGACGCACGCGGACGGTGCCACTGGGGCGGTCGGTGGAGCACCCTAGAGGGTTGTACCGAAATGGGTGGCGCGGACGGATGTGGGCACCCCCACGGGGGCCTTCGGTGGAGCTCCCTATGGGACCACGAAGCGTGTGAGGGATGTGCCGAAACAGGCGGCGCAGACGCATGTGGGCACCGCCACTGGGGCATTCGATGGAGCTCCATATGGGGCCGCGAAGCGTGTGAGGGTTGTGCCGACATGTGTGGCGAAGACGCATATGGGCACCACCGCTGGGGCCTTCAGTGGAGCTCCCCATATAATTCAACAACGAACAAACAGCCAAACAAGCAAACAACAAACAAAGAAACAAACAAACAAGGAAGCAAGCAAACATGCTAACAAGCTAATAAGCAAACAAGCAAACAGGCAAACGGGCAAGCAAGCAGGCAAGCAAGCAAGCAAGCAGGCAAGCACAACAACAACAACAACAACAACAACAACAACAACAACAACAACAACAGCAACAACAACAGCAACAGCAACAGCAACAGCAACAGCAACAGCAGCAACAACAACAACAATCATTTTAAGACGGTTCGCTCTCATCTGTTCACGTGGCATTCAACACATGTATCCCAAACCCTCGGTACCCGCCCTCTTCGTCTTCGATCGTAGCTCCACAGGGGGCATATTGTTCTTACCTGCCACGTGCACTTAGCACAGCCCCTAAAACAGGGGAAGAGAGGACGGATGTAAGGGTGAGGGAAAAGGATGGAAAAGGATGGAGCACAAGAGAAATTAGCAGGACGAGGGCTAGGAGCAGAAAACACGTGGCAGAACCAGACGGGCAGATCGGGCAGGCAGACCCTAGTGGGCGGGTCGGAAGGCGGGCCCAGGCGGCCAGGTCGAGCAGACGGGTTGCTGAAGCCTGAGTCCTGCATGAATCGCGAGGAAGTCTGGAGCGATAGCGCGATTCCCAAGTATATCATTAGAAAAACCAAAGCGACAGTGCGATTCCTGAGTATCGAGGGCGCGGCGTCTGACTAGATTGCGAAGAAGTCCCATGCGAGAGCGCGATTCCTGCTTGAATTGTAAGGAAGTCCCGCGCGAGAGCGAGACTTCGCGTGGAAGTATCAAGCGGGAGCCGTTGTTGTTGTAGGGGGGTCAGGGGCACAGTTTGAGCAGGATCACTTCTCCTGGTGAGAAACAGAGTGCGAGCCTCGAGGGGGGCACTTCAATGGAAAAAACACAATGCGCACCTGTGGGGGGATCATCAATAATTATTCGTCAAGAATGAGAATTCAACAAAACGGCGTCGGATATCTGGCAAGGGGGGATGGCCCTGAGATCCGACGTCGCGACAAAAATGCAGCACCGTGAAACATTCACAGCTGGAGCCCTAGGCCCCATCGTTCTGCGGCAATTCGAGGCGGAACGATCTGCGAGGGCCCTTGGGCCCGAATCTGGGAGAAAACGCCCCGCGTGAAAAATTGCGACTCCAGGATCTCAATCTAAGAACCAGCAGTGTCGTTACTACCTGCATCACCGCCGACGTTACCAAATGGCCACGACACCACCACCGACCACCTCCGCCAGAAACCATCACGCACGGAGAATCCGGACAGGAGCCTAAACATGCACCCGCGCCATGCCCAGAGCAAAAACACGCACGAGGACCTCAGACGCAGGGGCCGAACGCCCGCGCGGGCGGCTGCGCGTGCCCCACCGGTGCTCTCTACATCCGGCGCGTGGGGTATACGGTGCAGGCCTCTCCCTGAGAATCCCGAAGCCCTCGCTCGGTGGCGGTCACCATTCGGGAATGGGGCGGTCGGAGCCTTTTGGACAGCGTGTCTCCACAGCGGCCCCGGCGACACGCTGTGCCCTGCGAGCGGATGGCGTGTCGCGCCGCTCCGCGGGACGGGAAGCTCGGGAGAGCTCGGCATGCGGGCGCCTCGGGACCGCGAAGCGGATGACTGTCACGCCGAGGCGTGGTGGGCCACAACCGGCGGAGCGACACGCCATCCCAGGTTCCCAACCGTGCGTGCGCCCCGACGGGGCCCAGACCGTGGGACCTTTCCCCAGGACCAGCTGTTCGTCCCGCTGGCCATCGCTCGGACGTCCATTCCCTGTGTTTTTGTTTTCGGTTTCGTGCGTGGTTTTTTCGCCAAGTGATCAAGGATGCTCCTCGATGGTCCTCGCCAAAAGGAAAATGCACACGTCCGAGCGATGCCAAGTCTGAGTCGCTCTTTGACAGCCAGGCCCTGGGCCCAGCGAGGGCAAAGGGGTCCAGAAAAAACGGCGAAGACCTCAAGATCCGCGCCCCTCGGGACCCATTTCCTTCGTGGCGAGGAGTGGTAGGATGGTTGAACCGCCCGACAGCTCCTCTGGTTGCTGTGCAGAACGACCACGTTCTCGCTCTCACCAGACAGGAGCCACGGGATGTCGGCCACCATGTCGTTGTAGCGGTCGTTGTAGTTCACTCTTCGGCCTGGCAGTGGGGCGTCGAGACGAAGGGATCGACCAACGCTGGCACGGACAGAGGCACAGGCCACGAGACAGCGAGGAAGAGGTGGAGGAAGACGAGGCAGGGAGGGGAACGGTGAGGGACAAGATGGGTAGAAGGGACGACGAGGAGAAGGGGGAGGAGGATACCGGAGGCACGGTGGAAGCATCGCTCCACCCTCCGCCGCCTCCTCCTCCTCATCCTCCTCCTCCTCATCCTCCTCTACTCTTCATCGTCCATCATCCCTCGTTCCTCCCCCGTCTTCTCATCCTCAGCCTGCTCCTCCTCCTCCTCCTCCTCCTCCTCCTCCTCCGCCTCCTCCTCAGCAGGCCCGCCGCTTCCCTCCCCCCGGACTCCGCCCAGGGTCTCGAGGCGACAGGCCTGGTGGCGCAGGAGGTGGATCCTGGTGAGGTCCAGCGTGCCACCAAGGACTGGCTCTGGTACCCTCCGCTGGTCATAATGACAGATCGGCGTCCTCCTCCTCCTTCTCCTCCTCCTCCTCCACCACCTCCTCCTCCTCCTCCTCCTCCGCCTCCTCCTTTTCCTCCTCCTCGTCCTCCACCTCCTCCTCCTCCCCTCCTCCTCCTCATCCTCCTCCTCCTCCTCCTCCTGCTGCTGCCTGCTCCTCCTCCTCCCCTCCTCCTCCTCCTCCTCCACCTCCTCCTCCTCCTCCTCCCTCTCCTCCTCCTCCTCCTCCTCTTCCTCCTCCTCCTCCTCCTCCTCCTCCTCCTCCTCCTCCCCCATACACAACATGAATGCTACTCTCCTCTCTTCCCTGGTGGCGTCCAGGAAATGTCCGGCCATCCTCGGCGTATTGGTTTTTTTACACACAGGATTCCCAGGAGTTGGGTTTTCGCTTGGGCTTGTTTTCAAAATGCTGCTCTCGCTGAAGCGCTGGCCTCATTTCCGCGCTTCTGCTCGTCCCGAATCGTGCTCCCGCTGCAGCACTGGCGTCATTTTTTTATTTCCAGCCCCATGCCACAGCACGGTTTTCGGCCCTTCCAAATAATAGGCCTCAAAATCTAGAAAATGGCCTCCCGAAAAAACCATCGGAAGTGATTACACATCCGGTGTCTATTCGTGAATATTTTGGACCGCAGAAGCCACCCCCCCCACTTTGGGGCGTCGCCACGTCGCATTTCCGCGCTTGGGTTTTTTTTGTCCGAAATGCTGCTTTCGCTGAAGCGCTGGCCTCGTTTTCGGGCTACCGGTCGTTCCAAGTGCTCCCGCTGCAGCGCTGGCCTCAATTCCGCGCTTCCGCTCATCCCGAATCGTGCTCCCACTGCAGCGCTGGCGTCATTCTTTCCAGCGCCATGCCACGGCATGGTTTTCGGTCCTTTCAAGTAGGCCCCAAAATTTAGAAAATGGCCTCCCGAAAAAACATCGCAAGTGCTTATACATTCGGTGCCGATTCGTTGATGTTTGGAACCGCAGGAGCCCCCCGCTTTGGGGCGTCGCCACGTCATGCTATGTCATGCTGCGCGTTGATCTTCACCACCATGCTATGCCATGCAATGCTACGCCATGCTGCGACATCCGATTGTGCGGATAGAGAGGAGATCTACGCCATGGTAGGACGTCGGATATGACGCGAGCGCACCTAGCTTGACCACCCCCCTCCCCCCTCCCCCCTCCTACCCTCAGTCCTCCCGCCCTCCCTTCCTCGCCCCCAAAACATCCGACGTCTTCACTTTCTCGCAGCGTGGGCCTTCCATGGGACTGGTCTTTCGTCCCGAGCGGTGTTCTGACGGTCCAGGGCTCGATGAGGGCCCCCGCTCTAAGATCTGGGCGTCGCATCGCATTTTTTTCACACGGCCGTGGGCCCTCGAGGACCGATCAAGCGCGACAGAAATGCCGCTGCAAGGTGGGGCCTGGGGTTCCTGCCGTGGTGGTTCACGACGTTGTCATTTTTGTCGCGACGTCGGGTCTCAGGGAAGAAAACGCGATCTTTACTGCCCTGGTCTGCCCCTGCCGAAGCGCTACCCGCACCGTGACGAGAGCGTCCCCAGCATGCTGATAGATATGCGAATGCTGGCCGACGCTGTGCCACATGTATCCCGCCAGGCTTGCGCTCTCAGTCTGCGCGTTGAACTCCGCGTACACACGCTGCGGGCTGCGCGTGGCGCATCGGGGCAGCCAGGATCACGACGCCCCCATCGGATCCGCGTCGCAGTTTCTCACGATGTCGAAGCGTCTCCGCGACGCCCGGTCTCGAAATACCCACTGCCCCGAGGATGCAGCACGACCCGTCGGCGACCGCGCGACCGCGCGACCGCGAGTCGCCGGCGATCGCGCGACGGCCCGGCCCGCTCGGGCCGCGGTCGCGCCTCGGGGCTCGCGCGGGGGCCTCGTGCTCGGGTCGACGAGCGCCCGCGGGGCCCCGCGGGCTCCGAGGCCGCAAAGACACGGCTCGGGAGCGCGTCCCCCCCCTCGCCACACGAGGGCCCCCCACAGCGAGCCGAGCGTGGCGTCGAGCGGGCGACGCTGCGCCCATCCGTCTCCGCACTTGGTCGGCGCACGGGCCCAGGCGCCATGCCGCTCTGCGCTGGTCGACGCGCGGGCCTGGGCGCCGCCCCGCCGCCCCGCTCTGGGGTCCCGTCCGCTCCGACGACGGGCTCGTTTCCGCAGTCGTGGTGCCTGGGAGCAGCCTCTGGGGCCTCCGGGGGGCCTGGAGAGAGAGCAGCCCACGACGAGGCGCCTCTCCCCGGAGGGGTGGGCTGAGGGCTCCCGTGGCGCACGTCAGGCGGCCCCATGATGCGAGTCTGCTGTGTTGCCAGAGCGATCTGGAGCACTCGGAACGATCTGGACCGCGATGGCACGGCCGCGGCACCCGATACGTCATCCGAGCTATCCGCACGATCTCCTGCTCGGCCTCACTGTGTCGCGAAGTCCATCACAGCGTCGGAGGTCCGACGGTCGCGCCACTGCCAGCGTCGCGGCGGGTGGCGCTCGCGCGACCGCGCACCCCGCAGCAGGTCGCCTGGTCGGCCAGTGAGCTCGGCGTGCAGACGCCTCGGCTTACCAGGCTGCGGGACGCCGGAGAGCTCACACGCCGAACCACCTCGCCGCATTCCGTGGCATCCTTGGCCGACCAGACGATGACGAACCAACGACACACACCCATACCCACAGGGGGATCGGAGAGGGCTATGGGTGCGTGTTGTCGGATGGGGGTCCCCGCTCGAACGGGAGCGTTCCCCAGGGTCCGACAACCCGCATCCATACCCATAGCCAGTCCTCCTCCCAACGACCCCCCTTTGGGTATGGGTGTGTTGTTCGTTCGTCAGACGACGTGGTGCACACGTCGAGCCCCTCCGAAGGACGACGGCGACCACCACCACGAGGCCAGGCGTGTCAAGCAAAGGGGGGGGGGTCCCTCGGGCCTGCGGCGGCCACCGCGCCGTGCATCCGCCAGTCCAGCAGTAGGTCGCCCTCTCCGCCGCAGGCGCCGGGCCGCCGCCGCGGCGCCAGCAGCAGCTCCAGCGGCACCTCCGCGGGGGCGGGCCGCGAGTGCTCAGAGGCCTGCTTCTATCGGCGGTGGACAAACCTCCCTTTAGTAGACCTCCCCTTAGTGAAAACGGCCTGGGACCGAAACCGACGGACCTGGACCCGCAAAAATGACGGCCGGGACGGCCTCTCGCGAAACGAAAACGGCCAATTCCTTAATCGACGTGTCAGGGTAGGAGGTCTGTCCACCCCCGATTCTACGCCAAGAGCCTTCGGAGAAGCGCGGCCCGACGGTATCCGGTCGCGAGTGCTCAGAGGCCGAGCCCGGCCCGACAGATCTGGGTCGTACATGCGACCCGCTTGAGGCAGCCGTGCCCATGCGTGAGGCAATGACACCCTGCTCACGCCCTGTCTCGTGCAGGTATGCCGTGCGTACGACGTCGCATGGCTGCGTGAGAACTGCGATAACTGTGAGCGGGCCTCTGAGCGAGACATACGGGGTTGGCCTCTGGGGGCCTCGTGGGACCCTGTCGAGGTTCAGGGGGCCGTCTGGGAGTGTCTTATGGTCATATTGGAGTGGTTTCAGGCCGTCTTGGAGCCGTCTTCGGGCCGTCTTGGAACGGCCTTGGGGTCCTCTTGGAGGCCAGTCGAGGACATTTTGAGCTATCTGGGGGCTCGCGTGAGCCTCGTGGACCCTCCGTGTAATTCTATTGTGCACGTCTTCGCGCCATCTGGATCTGAGGAGTGGCTCAAATGCACGGCAAGCGGCCTGATCTGATCGGAAGTGGCCACGAAAGCTATTATATCTTATGGGAAAAACGTATCAGAAAAATCCCAGGCAACCCCCCGGACAACCCGGACAACCCCTGCGTGATGGAGCCACTGAGTATACTATAGCAAGGTTGTGGACAGCGTTCAAGCGAGAGCACCATTCCCGATCAAAGATGTGGCCATCGCAGGGGCGAGTAAGCCATTCGCAGTCAGGGGTGTGGCCAGCGCTCAGTCGGCACCACCAGTCGCAATCAGGGATGTGTCCAGCCATCAGACGGCCGCGCAGTTCCTAACTCAGAAAGCGGCTTGCGGTCAGGCGTCAGCGAGATCTGCAACCATTCCCCTCGCTCCTTCTGGATGCTCTGCCGGCTCATTCATGGATGCCCTGCCGACTCAGAAACTCGACGCACGCCAGGATGAGGATCGATTGCCTGCTTGTCTGCGACCCTGGGTGCCCGCAGTCCTGCTTGCGAGGTTACTCCGATAAACAGGGTAGCCTGACAGCTTCCCGCCCCATGCTTCGTCTGCTCAATGAAGCTACGTGCTGCTGGTACTTACTGCTGCTCGGTGACACTCGCTGCTCCGCGCTGCCGCACGCTGCTGGGCAGTCTGGCAACACTAGGTGGGAGGAACGAGCGGACCGCCATCGGGCCATCTAAGAGCCATATTGGAGCCTCTCGGGGCGATTTTGGAGCGCATAGACAACCCCCATCAGGTAGTCCCAGCTGGCCTCAACAGGCCCCCGGGGTAGTCCCAGCTGGCCTCAACAGGTCCCTCGAGGAGTCTGGGGCAGTCTCAACACCCTGGCGCCGCATCCCCGGGACTACGTGGTGGGGCTGTCTGTGCGCAGTACGGGGCCTTACCAGCCCTTCTTGGACTATCGTGGGGCCTCTCTGGGCTGTGGCGGGCCCCCATCACTCCCTTGCGCTTCCAGCCCGAGGAGGGCACCGGCCGGGGCGCGTCAATGAAGAAGGCGCGGCGCGCCGCCACGGCCAGCAGGAAGACGCCCAGCAGACCGTTGAGGCGGTCCCCGTGCCCACCGCAGAAGCCGAGCGCCGAGCAGCGGTAGACGAGCACACGCTCCTGCCGCCGCCGCCGCCGCCGCCACGGTCGCCGCCGCCGCCGCCGTGGTCGTCGCGACGCTGGGCCGCCTTCGCGCGTCTTGGGGTTCTTCGGGGGCTCTCTTGGGCCGTCTTGGCACTCTCTTGGGCCGTCCTTGGCCTCTGCTGAACAATCTTCGGCCGCTCCAGAGGCTTCCTTGGGCAATCTTGTTCACCCAGCAATGTAGCAGACACTAAGAAGTATCAAGCTCAAGTTTAACTGACAGCTAAGGAGAGGAGCCCGAGGTGGAGGAAATGAGAGGGGGGCAATTCGCAAAGCGCAGAAATGATGAAGAGAGAGGGAGGCTCTCTTGGGCCATCATACGGGCGTGATGGACCCATCTGGAAACCTTTGTCGGGCGTTGCTTGGCCGTCTCGGGGCGCTCTGAAGCGCTCCCGATGCGATCTGAAGGAGAGGCCCAAAAACACGATAACGTTGAAACGCCTGGCATGTGTGGCCGATTTGATTGTACGGGGCCTCTTTGGGGGGCCTATGCGAGCCTCTCTTAAGGTATGTTCAAGTCTCTCGGGGCCGTCCTGCACTCAAATTGGGGCGTGCTGGACCATCCTGGGCCATCATGGCTGCCTCTGGGCATCCTCCTGAACCCTTATTGCAAGCCTCTTGAAGCCCCACCAAAGCGGGGGAATGTTGCCGAAGCGGTCCGCCCCTGCGCCTGGGGTCCGTGTCGCTGGATACACCTGGAAACGCCAAGCCCCGAAACGGCCCCGTCTTTCACGCGTCAGGAGAGAAGCGGTATCAATCCCCTGCCCCGCAAGGCAGAGTGCAAAAAAAAACTTGAATAAGTCTGAGGCTGCATAACGAAAAATATAGGGCGCCAGACAGCCAGCATGCCACCTGACTCTGCAGGTGCGCATCACTCGGCCACGGCAGGCCCCATGCCGGCAGATACATTGTGATCCGAGAGGGTTAGCCAAGGCACCACGGCAAAGCCCTCACACCGAGTAACAAAAACTAAAACAGGCAGCCGACCGCACGTGCACTCGCGGCAGCTACCCCCCCGCACCACAGGAAGGAGAAGGAGGAGGAGGAGGAGGAGGTCACGGAGGGCAATAGGTCGGGGGCGCCAGTCGGCTTGGTCAGATAGCTAGGAGGCCGCCCAAAGTGGGTCCGAGTGGATGGGGTCGGACGCCCCATCGCTCATGCACGACGCATCGGCGACGCATCGGCGATGCATCGGCGACGTCGGCGATGCACCAGTGACGTCGGCCGGGGGAGAATCGGGATCCACATCGAGCCGCATCGCCGACGTGTCGGCGATGCGGCGTGCCCCACCGACCCCACATCTGCCCCGAACACAACTCGGGCGGCCTGGCGGCCCGAGAGGACGCCCACGCTCCCGCGCAGGTCGCCGCCAGCACCTCGGGCCGGCGCCTCCTCCGCAGCGCCCCGCGCCGAGAGCTCCTCGTCGGCCACGACCTCCGCTGGCCGCGACCCCGCGGAAGCCCGCCTGGTCCGCCCCTGTCTTCTTGCTCGCCCAGCTCTGCGCTGCTCCAGCGAGGGCAGAGAGCGGCGGACAGCCCAGGGGTAGGCACTAGACACGCCTTCGCCAGAGAGCCTCGTCGAAGGCGTTGGCGATCGGAGCCACTGGATTCGTGTAGGGCTCCCCTCGGGGCTATTATCCACCCATGTTGCCGCCGCCGCCGCCTACCGACCTGCAGCCCGGGTGCCGATGTCAAGGATGTACCGGTCCCCAGTTTCGCCCTGCACGTCGAAGGAGAGATCCCAAACGGCCACGCGCACGAGAATCGGGAAATGCCTGCTGATCATGTCCTGGTCCTTCTGCTCCGACGCGTGGACGTGCTCAGAATACACGTCGCAAACGCGCGCACCGATATTCAGCACCGCGTCAACGGATGATGCGCCGGCGTTGAGCCATCCATCCTGTAAGACAGCCGCATGGACAGTGCTCAGAGCCCGCTGGCCAGACACAGTCGCCGCCCGTGGCTGGGAGACCGTTGTCGAAGCCCGCTGGTCGGCGACAGAAGCGGAAGAGCTGGTCACGCAGGAACTGCACGGTGGGGGCTGCTGCCTGTACTCGTCGCCAGGCCTATGTAAGGCGCTTCTTGGATCCGATCAAGGCCATGCCCTCGCTTGTGTGATGTCGCCAGAGAGTACGAGCACACGCTCCGCAGAGTCGCGCGGTCGCTCCACGAGCAGAGGAGAAAGTCGGTACCAGGCAGCGCCCGCGCGCCGCGATGGGAGGGCAGTGCATGCGGCGAGCAGCAGAGGCACAACGAGTGCCAGGGCGATGTTCGAACTGCCAGCGCGAGGTACGCGCAGCAAAGAAGGCACCTCGAACCTCCCCGTCATGGACACGCCGACCCTTTGACTGCTCGGGTCTGCGGCCGCCGCCAGCAATGCCAGCGCTGTCTCGTCGACCATCTCCGCCCTGCACTGGCCCTGCCTCGATCCTCTGCCGTGGCACGCCCGCGACTGCAACCGTGGCGCTGCGACCAGGCAGCGCGAACCGGCCTGCCTAATCCATCTCCCTCTGTCTGCGTCGCTGTTCCTCGTGCCTTCTCTCCTTCTGGCGCTCTGCCCGCTCCCGGTTCATCACGCGGAAGGCGTCTTGCACCCTTCGGGCCTTCGGCCTCGTGAAGTGCACATAGCGGCACCACCCGGCCGCGTAGTCTGTGCACCCGGCCTCTGATGGGAAGCAAGAGATGCCCACACCGTCACTCCCCGGAGCTCTCCGGGGGCGCGTTCTGAGCAGGATCTCGAAGCGAATCCAGCCGTGGCGACGAGGGCCAGGTTGGGCACGTCCTCCTACAGGCGGATCTGGGGAGGAAAAAAAACAGGTATACCAAAAATACCCACAAATAGCCAGGAGTAGTGGAGAGGTCGTCCCCGCATCGCTTTTTGGAAGACTGTCAAACATTCCCGAGGGACATGCCCGACCCGGACGAGGGACGGGTCTCGGGTGCGCCGAGGAGGGGGGCGCCAGGACGAGGGTGCGCGCCCCGTGGCCCCGAGGCACGTGCGCGGGCGAGTGGGGGCCAGCGGCTGGGAAGGACCCAAGAGCGGGCCACGACATCTGGGAGATGCCAACACACACCCACACTTTTTAATCTGCGGGGCGAGAGCAAACGTCTTCACACACACACACAAAAACTAACAAACAAACAAACACACAAACAAACAAACAAACAAACAAACAAACAAACAAACACACACACTCTTTCCACGTTAGCGGCGAGGAAGAATTGCTGCTCCAGCGGGCGGCGATCCGGGGCGACCGATGCGCGAATTGGCCAGCGTGCAGCAGGAGGAAGAGAGGGGGACAGGGCGGCCGCGGAGGACGGGAAAGGCGGAGGGCACTCAGACGCGGAAGACTTCCATGTCGAGTGGGTCGGCGCCGCCACACACACACACACAATCATTACCCCCCTCTTGGAGGCCCCTGACGGCAGCAGAAGCGGTATCCTTTCCTCCTCTGAGCCTCGCTCCACTTGAATACCAGCCGGTTCGTCATCAGCGGCACAAGCAGCGACCCGCCAAACCACCTCCCCCATCGCCGCGAGTTCTTCCACAGCATCAGCCTTGGGAGACGCTCGAAAAAAATACCAAGTCGTCTCGTCGGCCCAGGAGCTCGATGTACATGATCGATATTCCCTTTCCTGTACTTGTACCAGCCCGGGGAATAGGAAAAACCCTTCCCACCCAAAAACCGGACCCCCAGGATTCCGGGGCTTTGGGGCCTCCTGGACGCCCTTGGAAGAGGCCCTCCAGCCCTGCCGCGCATCCCAGGGGGCCTTGCCGTGCCTTGCCCAGCAAACCCACAGCGATCAGAGAAGAGGTCGAAGGGGCGCAGGAGAGCCCCAAGACAGCGCAAGACGGCCCCAAGACGGCCCAAATAGCCCCCAAGACGGCCCAAGAGGTCCCCAAGACGCCTCAACGGGTCTTCAGGAGGGCCCCCAAGAGGCAAACATCGTCCCAGTCCTTTCTGGGGAAACGTACATCTTCAGCATATTCGTTTTTTGCGTCGTCGCAGCGCTCACGACGGCCCAAGAGGCTCCAAGATCGCCCTGAAACGGCCCAAGAGACCCCCAGGAGGGCTTCAAGACAGCCCAAGAGGGCCCCAAAACTGCCACAAGACAGCCCCAAAGAAGCTCACGAGGCCTCCAAAGGCTTCCATGAGAGACCCACAAGGGCCATGGGAGGTCCCCAGGCCTGCAGAGGGCCCCAATTCCCGAAGAAGGCCCCAGCACGGCCCAAGAGAGACCCAAGACGGCCCAAACAGGTTTCAAAAGGACCCCCAAGACGGCCTCGAGAGGCGTTTGGGAAGCTTCCAGAATTCTCCCAAGCCCTTGAGAGGCATTCGTGGGGTTCCGAAAGGTTCTTCAACGAGGAGCCTCTGGACGGGAAAAGGTTCGCAACGCCAGGCGAGAGCGAGGATGAATGAGAGGAACGACAAGGCGATGCTTCACATTGCCTGAAATTGCGCGACCAGGCAACTTGGGCCATTAGCGAGCTCGCGCGGTGACCACGCGAAAGACCCCGAACGTCACTCCTTTGCATGGTCGTGCGTCTTCCAGAAGGCGTCTGCCTACGAATTACACCAAACTGATCCGAATCCTGGGGTTGCAACAACATTCCCTCGAAATAAATGGCAAAACCTGGGTGTCGGTGCATTTCCAAAGTCAAGGCGGCAGTGTTTGACATTGCATTGCTTCGTATTCTGCGACATTGGTTGGCAGTGCGTTGCTTTGCTTGGCATTCATTCGCCTGGCCTATCATTGCTTCGCATTGCGCACCTGGACAGCCTGAGACACGAGCGGACCAACGCGAGCCGCACGAGGACCCTCCACGTCTTTCATGGGAACATGTTATTGAATTGTGTATGTACCCGTGCGTCCTTAGCCGGTGGCTGAAATGCTTCAAGCTCCCGCATGCGCCACATCCTTCAATACCGCTTGCTCTGATTGTAGCGAAACTATGCCTTCTCGGAGCCTCCAGGTGGCGTTCTCGTCGCCACGTCGTCGGGTCTGCCTCGAAATTCGAATCCAAGCGCACCCCACGGGAAATTCGGGTGGCGCGCGAACATGTAAATCGAGGGCGAGAGCAAATAAGGAACGGGTAAGGGGACTTGAAAGGAAACGGCCAAATTTCAAAGGCCAAAGACGCCAAGTGCCAACGCATGCGAAGCTTGAAGGACCAAGGTGCGCGGCGCGAAGCCCCAACGCAGTATTGTGTGTAAATGTGTATCTATATATATATATAGAGAGAGAGAGATAATGAGATAATGCACAGACGTGCCAGGTTCCCACACTGTGGGGCGACACCGCATTCAAAACACCGAGTCTTCGCCCAAGTGATTGGGCTCCTTGGCCGACCAAACTACGTGGTGTGTACATCGAATCCCTCCGAAGCCTGAAGAGGAGCCGGTTCCACCGAGATGGTCTGGAGGAGACGCACAGCAGCCCCAGGTTCAAGTGCTCGAAGTGCAGCGAGTCTTCACCCCAAAACGACTCGCCCCCCCACGCGTGCTCTACGTGTGCCACATCCGGCCTCTCTATGTTCAGCCTCTAGAAGAAGAAGAACAAAGTGCACATTCAAACATAAACTTGCGGAGTTCTGCGCGGATTTCTTGGATCGGCGCTGGACACCCTCCCCGGCGTGCAGAGCGCGCCAGGGGCGTCGCCGAAGGTGCCGTCAGGGGGCTCAGCGCAGATCCGACACGTGTGTGCAGACCTCCGAGAGCTTATGTTTAGCATGCTTTTGTCATTCTTCGAGCCTCCGCACAAAATAATCCAAGTCTGGGAGGAACATGTCGGCCTCCATGAAGCACAAGTATGTGGCCGGCGACACGCAGGAGTGACCCCTACAGCCAAAGGTGACCTATGGTGCGCCGCTTCGGGGGGGCGCCGGGGAGTCGGGAGGGGGGGGGGCCAATCCGAGCGCGCACGCCGCTACTGAGGGGGGACAAGGGGGCGGACGATGGGGGGGGGGGGGGGGGAAACATGCCCAGGGGGGACAGGCTCGGGGAGGGGGAACTCGGCTCGGAAGCGGCGCTGCATCGCCGGTGGATCGGCGACAGGTCCTCGGCAGCGACACCGCACGTTCCTGGGCGGGGTGGGCCATCAGCCCCCCATCGGCGAGGCACGGGCGGTCGGGGGTCGACGCACTCCCGTCCCGCTGCTCCTGAAGGACCCCTTCGCTGGCATGAAGCACGCGGGTCCTGAGGTCCCGAACCCCAGACCCCCGACGTCATGATTTGTGCATGGCGTCGACCCCCACAGGTTCGACCTATTCCCCAAGACGCGTTTTTCATCCCGAGTCGTTTTTTGACGGTCCCGAGGCCCGGCAAGGGCCCCCAGGGGCGGAACATTACGAAAAACCTCTCGCCGTGATTTTTCCATTACTCGAGGAGGTCCAGAAATCGGGGGCAATCCCCCGGGACCAGCCCTCTTCACCCTCCGTCGTTCTTCAATGATAGCTCGCGGCCCGTGGACGGCCCAGGGAGGCCAACAAATCGGTGAAAAACCTGAGGACCCGCTCCCTCAAGACCTGTGTGCTTTCTTAGGGGCATCTCAGATGGGATCCGAGTAGATGGAGTCGAAGGATTGCGCCGCATCGCCAATGCATCGCCGACGTATCGCTCATGCATCGGCGATGCATCGGCGATGCACCGGCGATGCATCGGCGATGCATCCGCGCCATCGGCGTGGCGAAAGTCGGGATCCGCATCGAGCCGCATCGCCAATGCATCGGCGATGCGGCGCGATGCTTCGACCCCATCTACTCCGACCCCATCTGGGAGGCCTAGATTCATGGCGGCCTTGAACGGTCACTCCAACGCGTAGCCGCATGGATCGGGTGTTGCTAGAAGTACCCCTGGCCCGAGGTACCCCTAGGATTCTCGGGGTGGCCCAGACGGCCTCCAGGGCACCCCTCACGAGGCCCAGAGGGCCCCAGGGGCTCCAAAATGAAGCGGAAAGCTGGGGGTACCTTGGGCCAGGGGCACTTCTAGCAACACCTGAATGGAGGGGCTCTCTGGGCGCAGCCGCCGGGCGCGCTGCCCGCAGCCTGGGCCTCGTGGTCATCCGCCCCGCGGCCCGTGAGCAGGTCGGCGGCCAGCCAGCGCGCAAACGACCCGCCCTGGCAGGGGGCAGCCGGAGACGTGGCGTGGCCGTCCACCTGCCCGTACAAGTCCGCCAGCCTCCGCCCGATAGGGGCTGACAGTTATGTGGTTCCCATCGCCGTAAGAGAACGTTCCAGAAATAGCTGCGAGCACCCCGAAAGGTATCGAAGCAGTGCCTGCCCGACAGCCTGGCGGAGTGCCGAACGAGCATCGCCTCCCAAGGCCCGACACACAAAATCCGTCCAGTTTTGATACTTTCCTGGTGCTCGACGTCCTCTCTGGTGGTCGAGGCTACAATATGTTGGAACATCATAAGCTGACAGGGCGTTGTGAGCTCTTCGGCCGTCTCCTCCCTCTGCGATCCCGAGGCCGTCCACGGCGAAGGGCACAGCCGAAAACCGGCCGAGTCGACAGCGAAACCGACACCGGCCGAGACCGCACCCTGCCGGGAGGAGCCTGGAAGTGCGCTGCGACGCAGCAGCGACGCCACAGTGGACCAGACCGAACCGACCGAGCGCAACCGACTGTGACGCAGCCGAACCGACCGAACCGCGGGCAGCCCTGGGAATCATGCTTGAGAGAGGGGGGGGCGAGCTCCCCAACGCAACTGCGGAGCCCTGCGGGCCCTTGAAGCTGCCCTCCGGGTCTCAGAGGCGCCCAAGATGGCTCCGGGTAACCGAAGATAGCCTCCAAGACTGCTCAGGTTTGCCCGGTGTGGCCCCCACAATAGGCCTTGTTGGCCCCAAAATGTCTCCACGGTGGCCTCAAAGCCGGCTAAGTAGGCCAGCTGGAAGCGGAAATCCAGGAAAGCCCAGCGTGCCTCATGAGGTTGGTGATCTCGCCTGCGCTATCTTACAAAGATTAACCCGAAGCATTAAGACGGCCACCATGTAGCCCAAGAAGGCCCCCCAGGAACCCAGGAAGGGCCTAGGAGGACCACCACAATACCTCAACTGGGCCAACGAGGGCACCAAGAAGGTGGCCCAGAAAGCTCTGAGGGGACTCCAGGAAGCTCGTGCACGAAAGAGGGTCCGCGAAGGAATTGAAAAAAATATCCTGGCGAACGACCCAACCATATGCAACTGTGACTACCGCGTTGGGCCACTTGGGTCTTCGGTGGAGCTCCCTCTGGGGCCACGATCTGTTTGAGGGTGACAGGTTGGGCGTCGGGCGCATGCGGACCCTGCCACTGGGGTATTCGGTGGAGCTCTCTACGGGGCCACGAACTGTGTGAGGGGTATAACAAATTGGGCGTCGGGCGCATGCAGACCCTGCCACTGGGGCCTTCGGTGGAGCTCCTTATGGGGCCACGAAGCGTGTGAGGAGTGTGCCAGAGCAGGAACATGCGGACGGCAGAGGCATGGATGGGAGAAGAGAGGGCTGGGAGGTAAAGGGTGTTTCGCGATGCTGGCCTTGGTGATGGTGATGGTAATGGTGATGGTAATGGTGATGATGATGATGAAGAAGATGAAGATGAAGATGCTGATGATAACGATGATGATGATGATGATGATGATGATGATGATGATGATGATGATGATGATGATGATGATGATGATGATGATGATGATGATGATAATGATCGCAATGGTAATGATGATGATGGTGATGATGATGATGATGAAGATGGTGGTGATGATGGTGGTCTGGGTGATGACGATGATGATGGTGATGGTGATGGTAATGGTGATAATGACAATGGTGATGGCGATAAGATGGTGATGATGCTAATGATGATGACGATGATGATAATGATGGTGATGATGATGCTCGGGTGAATATGATGATGGCGATGATGATGATGTTGATGATGATGTTGATGGTGGTGATGATGATGGCGATGGCGGTGGCGATGACGATGATATGATGACGATGGTGATGATAATGATGAGGATGGTGATGGCAATGATGATGATGCTGATGGTGGTGATCATGATGATGCTGATGATGCTGATGGGGATGATGATAGTGATGATGATGGTGATGTTGGTTATGGTGGTAATGATGGTAGTGGTGATGGTAATACAGATGGTGATGGTCATGATGATGATGACGATGATGATAATGATGATGATGATGGTGCTGGTGGTGAAAATGATGATGGTGATGATGATAATGGTGATGATGATGCTGCTGATGTTGATGCTGATGCTGATGCTGATGCTGATGCTGATGTTGCTGCTGATGCTGATGCTGATGACTGATGATGATGATGAAAATGATGATGATGAATATGATGATGATGATGCTGATGATGCTGAGGATGATGATGATGATGATGATGATGATGATGATGATGATGATGATGATGATGATGATGATGATGATGATGATGGCGATGGCGGTGGCGGTGGCGTTGGCGTTGGCGGTGGCGGCGGTGATGACGATGATCTGATGATGACGATGCTGACGGTGATGACGGCGCGCGGAGAGTATAGGTAGGAATGGGAGGAGGAAGGGGAGGAAGAGAGGAGAGGAGGAAGAGGAGGAGGAGAAGGAGGAGGAGGAGGAGAGGAGAGGACGCGGGGCGCTGTCTCTTCAAAACAAGGACCCAACACAACAGGATGGTTGGGATAAAATGACTCCCACCAGCCCTCTGGGCGTGAGTGGTCTACCGAGCTCGTCCTGCTAACCCCATTCTTCCCCTTCGGGGAGGGGGGTCCCCCTCCCCCCTCCGCCCTCGCCCTGGGTCTGGAGGGGGTATTCTGCGAGCGGGCGGAACGTCCAAGATGGCCCAAGATGGCTTCAAAATGACCCAAGAAAGCCGAAGATGGTCTCCAAGATCGCTCAAGATAGCCCAAAGTTGTTCAAGATAGCTTCCGACATGCCTTCAAGAGCCTTCAAGACCGCCTCAGAACGGCTCCAAGTGCACTCCACGCCTCCCAAGGCGGTTCCCGAGACGCCAAAATTTGTCCAAAGCCTGAGAAAAATCAATGGTTTTTGCTTTCTCGCTAGATCGCTTCCGATGGGCTCTTGAGGCCTCTGGCTCCATGGCTCCAAGATGGCCCACGAGGGCCCCAAGCGGGGCCCAAGAGGGGCCCAAAACGGCCCCAACAGCGCCCAAGACCGCCCCAAGAGCGCCCCAAGAGGGTCCCAAAAAGGCTGTTTTGAGAGCTCCGACGTGGGGGGGGGGGGGGGCGCACTTTGCAACCAGCCCCCCGTTTGACCGATAGCTTCCAAGATGGCCCCGAGAGGGCCCGAAAGTCTCCCAAGAAAGGCCCAAGAGGCCCCCAAGAGTGTCTCAAGAGGGGCCCAGGAGACCCCCAAGAGCGTTTCCTCTTCCTCCTGCCGGCCTTCCTCATTCTCTTCCATTCCTATTCCTTATGAACAACTCCTCCCTGTCGCACCCGGGGCCAGTCCGAAGGGCGGGCCGGGCGTTTCGCCTAAGACTTCCTGACCACTTACGAGCCTGAAGCTTTCAAGTGGGCAACAGGTTCAAAAATAGAAGGCGCGTCGCCTTCACAAAAAAAATCCTCGCCTAAGCGCCGCGCGCGTTCGCCGCAAGAAATTGCAACATATTCTCTGATTCAGGACGGGTGGATTTCAAAATGCGGTTCTCGCCTTGGCGCCGCGCACACTCGTTCTAAAATATGCAAGACGCTCACTAAATCTCATGGCTACAGTGCCAGACATGGTGTTTTGATAGGTTTCAGGACTGTCGCGGCGCAACAGTCACGCTGATTCGCGG